CTGCTCTGGGTGATGGTTTCTGAGCGCTAACCCCCAGGTCCTGCCTGCTGCAGCACCCCAAACTGCTTCGGAGAGGCCAGGTGCTCAAGCAACCTGTCACGGGGTGAGACTCGACTTCCTGGCCTGCACAGCATCGCTCTGGGCTGCTCCCCACCACCCCGGGAGGCCACGTTCCTCCCAGCTCTCCCGCAGGCCCTTACCCGCGTGCGGTCTTCGATGCTGTAGATGCGGAGCTGCATAGGGATGTTGAAGCTGTGTAAGAAGTTGCCTCCGAAAACCAGCGTGTCCATGGGAGTGTACACAGCGTGGATCCAACCTTGGAGAGAAAGCAGAGTTTGAAGAATCCTTCTGAGGAGGAGGCTGAGGTCTCGCAAACGACAGGCCCCACTAATTCAATCCCTTTGCTATCTCTTACGAACTGTGCTTCTCAGAGCAGCGCTGTCGCACCTGCAAAACCTTCACCTTCTCACTTAAGTCCATCCTGAAAGTTGAACCCTTAGCCAGGATCCAGGTGAGCTGCAAACATGGGACTGTTTATTGACCCCTCTCATGTCAGACCACCTCAGCAGCAGCAGGGAGGGCTACAACGGGACCATACAGCCCCAGCTCTTTGGGGACAGACACTGCTGCCTTACAGACGTGGCCTCACACTCTCCCACGGTGGCACATGCGCCAGTATCCACCTCCTGTCCAAAGGTTTTGGTCATCCTGGCATCTCTGCAAAGTTGCTTCCTACTTGTGTTAGGCCTAAGAAATCCAGCAAGAAGGAAAACAATCTTCCAAGATCCGCTCAACAATTGAAAAACCCCTCAGAGCAACTCAAGTTCCAGCTTTGTTATCTCCAAAGCTCAGCAATCTGGACCAGCCCAATGTTTTGGGAATTCCAGCATGAGCTTCCTCAAGGCAAGGCCGCTCTATTCAAAAGAAGTGTCAGTTGCGATGACGAGACTCCAACGAGTAACTTGTGCAATCCTTGGTATTTTCTCTTCCTGGTGCCACTGCAAGCTACGACACAGCTTATCCCTGCACTGCTGCTGGGGATGAAACAGCAGCTTAGAGCAGCCTTCAATACCCGAGTCCTACAGACAAAATTTTTATCAGAAGCCTTCAAAGGGGCCCAATGATCTTCCTCCTTACGAGGGAATATTCCCTAGGGCAAGCACGACATTTTACAGACATCCCACCCAGGTTCTAACCAGCTGCGAGCCAGCCTTTGCCAACAACCGACCTGAGCAGCTTTTTCATCCGTCTCGTCTCTTCGGCCTGTTTGTTAAACCACGTCAGCATAAAGATTTCTCTTAATTCTTTGAGAGCGTTCCCACTCCCAACCTCAAAACCTTCTTGCCCAAGCCCTCTGCAAAGCAGTTACCTGCACGTCTCTCCATGTTACTGCTTCCCAGCTCCCTACTGGCTTTCAGCGTTCTCCAATATCTGCTTCTAGCTACACGCTTTCCAGTTCTCCTATCTCCAGGACATGTTCCACTGCACATGTTTCATCCAGACTGTTCCATTGTCTTTCCTCGCGTCCAGAGCAGTCACCTCGTTCCTTAAAACTCACACACTGGCTTCCCCTTCCTTGCTTCACAATCTGAACATAACTCTGCAGAGATTTCACAAGAGATGGGCTCTGGGAAATCCTCTTTTAATAACTGATCGAGCGCGATGCGAGGCGGCCACAGCTTTCCCATCGCTTGGGCTGAAGCCGTGGTGCCACAACAGGCACGGTTTGGGAGCTGGCAAGCAAGAGGACTGAGCCACATCACACCTCCCTCTCCCAGTCACTCATGAGAGAGGAAGCTAAATCCTGCCTGTTCCCATTTCGCTCCTGTCCCAGGAGTTTCAGAGTCTCGCCACAACCCCGGCAAAGGCCGAGATGCGCCCACTTTGCAGTACCTGAGGGGATGACAAATGTGTAGCCCTGCTTGAGCTCGATGCGCTGGCACTCTGACACTCTATCCCCAAGAAAAATGTCTCCCTGCTTCCCTGAGAGAAGCCAGTTTTCATAGAGCTCCAGGTTCTGGGGCGTAGGAGGGATCAGCCAGAAGATCTGCAAATAAAGACAACACAGGTAGGTAAGTCATCACATAATTAACAGCTACCGACTACCCCCTGCTTCTTCCAGACCTGCCCCACTCCCTCTCCACACATCTAAATCTCTTCCTCTCCCTACCCACAGTGGATGCAGATCTGCAGAAATTCCAGTAAAGTGACCCAAACTGCCGCCCCCTTTGAGAGGACGAGCCGCTGCCCAAGGTCTTCCTCGCCCTGAGCAGCCCAAGCTTGGGATCCTCTGCAAGATATTATTTACACCAGCAGCAAGACATAAAGAGCCTAAAGACACTGAAGTAGTAGAGGCAAAGGAGATCTCTCCCTGCATGTTTCTGCCACGTCAGGAAGAGCTACAACAACTGAACTAGAGATTTGCACCAGCCTGGCTCCGCGCGACGCAGGTGGCAAGCAATCCCAGCCTACAGGATATTTTCCTCCATGTTAGCTTTTTCTAATACTACTAAACCGAGCTACCAGCAGATTTCACTGCTCCAACCGCATCAGTTCAAACCTACTACGACAAATCCACCTGCATTGCCGCCCTCCCTGGACAGCAGTGCAAAGTTTCCTTAACTACAGTAAGAGCTGACAACTGCAGCGAGCAAAAAAACCTCCAAACTTGAACACAGAATCACAGAATGTCAGGGGTTGGAAGGGACCTCTGAAGATCATCTAGTCCAACCTTCATCTCAGCACACCCAGCCACTACACCACAGCCTCAAGTGCCAGATCTACTTGTTTTTTAAACACCTCCAGGGTTGGTGACTCCACCACCTCCCTGGGCAGCCTGTTCCAGTGCCTCACCACTCGTTCAGGAAAGAACTTCCTCCCAATATCCAATCGAAACTTACCCTGACGCAACTTGAGGCCATTTCCCCTTGTCCTGTCATTAGTAATTAGAGAGAAGAGACCAGCACCAGCCTCACTCCAGCCTCCTTTGAGGTAGTTGTAGAGGGCAAGAAGGTCTCCTCTCAGCCCCCTCTTCTCCAGACTAAACAAACCCAGCTCCCTCAGCCGCTCTTCACAGGTCATGTTTTCCAGACCTCTCACCAGCCTTGTTGCCCTTCTCTGCACCCGCTCCAGCACCTCCATGTCCTTCTTGTGCTGTGGTGACCAAAACTGGACACAGGACTCGAGGTGAAGTCTCACGAGTGCCGAGTACAGGGGCACCATCACCTCCCTCCTCCTGCTGCTCACACCGAGCATTTCCCTGCCGTGACAGTCGTAAAGCACAGACTGAGACCCCCAACACAGGCACATTCGCTCAATGGCAGTCAGAGGGGAGCGTTTTCCAAGCAAGAACTTCACGTTGACTACGTGTCACGGTCTGGACACAACTGTGCTCTCAAGAGCAGCAGCAAAAGCGTTAGCGAAGGCGTCCGACTCGATTGTTCGAGTACTAGCTGTCCCCTTCGGCGATACAGCACCTCAAGTGTTAGAAATCTGTTTTCTGAAAGTTAAGGGAACAAAGACAACAGCCTCACCCATAAGGGGAGCAAAAGGTACAAGCCAACCTTCCTGAGGGCAAGCAGAGGACTGGCACCTTCCCAGAGCCCCTTTCCAGGTGGATTTCTTCCAAGCCGAGCGCCGGCACAGCGCACAGCTGGGGTGACGGATGCCTGGCACAGGGAAATCCCTGCACCACTACAACTGGAAGCCACCCATGAGGGGACAAACACTGTGCTCAAACGAAGTCTGTAACCAGATAAACTCAAACTCGACAGAGCTTGGGGTTCAGTTTTCATATCCTGGGCTGAGCCCAGCTCCAGGAAGTGACTCCAGACAAGCAGCTCAGATCTGACACGGCTTCGGTGCTCACCAGAAACCATTCAAGGGCTTTGTAGCAAAGACCTGTCACCAGCCTTCGGTTCAAATGCTTCTGTTTTCGAAGTCACTTGATGTTTTAAGGTGACCTTTCACACATCTGTTGGCTATTTAAAACAGCTCAGCTTTAGGAGAGGCTCCCATTCATCATTAATTACCTTTCTCCCCCTTGCTGCTGTTCCCAGTGTGCCCAGCAAGAGGTGATCAGCCACGTAGCCAGATGATCTATCAGAAGGCCAAGGCACTGGATGAACTGGATTATTCTACTCTATGTCACTGAGCCTTTTAAAAGGCTTTTATAAGCACAGTTTTTTCAGCCCGTGCCTGGTGGACCTCTGAGGGGCTGAACCACTTCAAAGAACCACAGATAAATGAGTTGAAGGTGGAAAGACTTCAGTTCTGGGACCTGCATCTTCAAGGATTGACAAGAGAATAGCCTAAAAGCTACTCTCTTAAAGCATCTGTAGCTTTCCCAACAGGGACCATCCTCCTACCTTTCCCCCTCGGTGGATGTGGTACCACACCGAAGTCCCACCGAAGTCCACGTGGAAATCTGTGTAGCAGCCCTTGACACTCATCAGGCAGTACCTGGTGGAAAATAAGGTGACGACAAGGTGAAAACGAGCAGTGATCCACATTTTAGAGCAGATAAAACAGATTCGGAGGGAATGGGATGCCCAAACGCAGGCTGGTGGCTCAGAGCGGTGCCAGAAGCCAATTCCAGCAGTGCTAAGCACTTGGAGCTGCAGGGAGGTGGTGGTTTGCAGGAGAGCTCACTCTGCATTGACATCACATCTCCGCAAAAAGCTCTAGCCCAGGCAAGGCAAGAGAAGAGCTTCCATCCTGACGCAGCGGCAGCTCCAGAAACCCCCTCGCTGCAGGTCTGGCCTGCGGGGCAGGATGGGCAGCGTCGAGCAGCTCAACTGACTCCAGATGGCTCGAGGTGAGGAGCACCCAGAGTTTCCCCAAAATACAGCGAGCTCCTAGAAGCCACAGGACCATCCTTCCACACGGAGGCTTAAATAACTGACTGCAGCCCCTTTACAAGTGCGACCTGCCCAAACAAACAGGGAGACTCTTCCTCCCACTTCTCCTCAAACTGCTTCTCCCTCAGGCAGTTTTCTTGCAGGAGCCCCTTTGGTACCTGCCACAGCTGGAACAGCTCAAGAAGTCACTTACTTCTGCACCTTTGGGTACTGCATCTCCAGGATAGCGTTCGTAGACTCTGTCTGACTCTCCTTCAGGTGTCTGGGCCACATGTTATCGACCCAGTCAATCAAATCCACCTACAGCAGAAAGGTGGGAAGATGTGAGTAGAGGTGAAAGGGGCACAGTAATTCCCTTTTGTTACCCCCAAGGGCGTCCTGGAAGCTCAAATTCTTTTATGCCTGCTTGGAAAGCCCACAGCTCACATCTGGCTGGGCACCTCTGAGGGGCAGGGTTGCATGGGGACCACCAAGGGAGCACAGTGCTGTGCACAGACCGCAGCCAGCCCAGCTCATGGAGCACCCACCCACAATGGGACCAAGGAAGGGAGGGAAGCCCTGCTGGTGTCAGCTGGATGGTTGCAATATTCCCTTTGGGATGCCGGTCCTGCGATGCCAGGGGCTGTACCGCGAGCCTCCGAGCTCACGCAAGCAACAAACACCACAGCGAGGTCCCTGGGACGCTGGTCTTCTCCTGAGGGGCCAGGCAGGGACTGCTGTGCACTGGGCTTATGGAAAACGTGCTTGGGGAGCATCCATTAGGGTGGGATTCAGTCTGATGAGCTTCAGGACAGGCAGAGATGTCCAGGCTCCCTCTACAGTTAACGAAGAGAAGTGAATGGCCCTGCAGAGTTGCCCCTTCTGCTCCACCGACCGCAGAAGGAATCCAGGACGTTCACCCCATCCATCCCACCTTCAACTCTTCGGTAAGGGCAACTCATTTTCCCTCCTGCCTCCCTTCCAACAGGCCTCCAGCCTTGACCTCCCGGGCGCTCAAGAGATTTTGCACCAGAAACCCCCCCTGCCACGGCGCAAAACTCTCCAGAGTCCCGGCTGAACTCGGGGTGGCTGCCCTACAGGGACCAAGGTTTCCAAACACGAAGGAAACCACATAGCTTGACCTCTAGCCAGGGACTTGAGCGTGGTCACTAGAGCTGAGGGATGCGCAGGTTGGGCAGCTCCAACCTGACTAGGAGACCAGCTATAGCAGATAAGGTCCAGGTCAGACACAGGATGAGCTCCAGCAGCTTCCAGAGCGCAGCAGTGACATCCCTGGCTGAGCCCATGCGCCGTATGAGCAGCCCCTCGCCACCCGCGTTCACGTGCTGGCCTGCACCTTGCCTACAGGGGACCAGAAGCACAAAGGAAAGGACATTCCTACAGAAGGAAGAGCCACACTCACCGTAGCGGGTCTCTGCACCAAGTTCTCCAGTTTGGTGTGGCTGAACTCCAGGCTGATGACATTGTAAAGTTTCTCCCGCTCGGCCTCCGGCGTTTCGTAGTAGCGCGCCCACTGCGCCATGGACATCTCGATGTCCCTCTGCGTGTTCACGTCCATGACGTCCACCATCCGTCGGCTCCCTGCCAGAAGAGACAGATGTCACTGGAACCATCCCCTGATGTCACTGGAACCATCCCCTGATGTCACTGGAACCATCCCCTGCACGCGATGGACCACCCAGAAGAGACACTCCAGGAGGCACGAGATCCTTCCTCAAAGGACCCACCCAAGCGTGGTGACTTGGCCTCTCCCAGAACTTCATCTCTTTCCATACCCACACCAAAATAGAAGCTGCTTAAGGTCAAACCTGACTCAAGAAGGTAAGAGTTGTGATCTACCAGCTAAGGACAGCTCAGCTTCAACCAGCTCCACACCAGGGGAGCCACAAAACCAGAGCAAAACCTGACGACTCTCCCCATTTTCCCCAGGGCAGAAGAGAGGCACACGGCGGTCCCCGGGCGCTTACCGACACACAGCCGCACATCATTCACGCTGAAATCCGGGTCTGGCATCCTGCAGGACAAACACCTTGCTAAAAAAAAATCATGAAGTGCTTCCGCTTGCAGACCCTCCCCACCTGTAACCCCAGTCACTACAAACCCCTGAAGATGTTACTTCTTTTTGCCTCTTGGCGAAGATCACGCAAACTACATCTCTGGGGGCATCGGCATGGGCCAAATACGGGGGTTGAACCCCCTGGCCCAACTTCTGGCTGGGGAAGGAGATTTGGGAAGAGGACAGCCCATCTCTAGAGCGTGAGCCGGCGTTTGGTGGCTTCTGGCAAACAAACAAGCAGGCCTTGAGCTCTCGTTTTCAAGACTGATATGCCCAGAGCAGTCCCTGACCCAGCGTAACCACTCTCCCTGTTTGTCCTGGCGTGCCGCTCTGTACAAACACCGCTGTCGCAGGCGGAACGGGCGGGCAGCCGTTCAAGCAGTTCAGGACCCAGAGAAATAACCAAAAAGCTGAGGAGAAATCCAGTTTTGCCCACAGCTTAATCCTCAGTATCAAATCTCTGCCTTCCCGAGCGAGCCAGCAGTTCAAACTGAGCCCGGCGCAATTTCCGATCCCGCTCACCGCGGGATGAGGCGCTGCCCGTGTATTCACAGCCAGCGGGGGAAGTTAAGAGATATTTGCTCTGACAAAAGTTTCTCAGGGCCGATCTAACTTTCACATTCATCAAAACCAAAAAACTCTGACCCAGAAACACGAGATCAGATGATTTTTATTTTTTTTCTTTTAATTTTGTAAAAAAAAAAAGACAGCTCTAACGCCTGGATGCAGCATTACTTGCCTTAAAACTACATCTACCATCCCACAGTGTATTTACACAAATAAAACGGTGCGCTGTCTTGCACCAGCACAGCTTTACACCCAAACCTGTAAATCTTAACTGACTTAGAGAGACAGATGGCAGTTTAGAAGTAACCACGTCGGGTAAAATCGGGTTGGAATTCTGGAAAATGCCAGAAATACTACAAATTGCTTGAATCTCTGGCAATAGCTGCCAATATTACAAGGAAAGAAACCCAGCCAGATGTTGCATCAGAGCAGCCGCGGGACTTTCCAGACATTTGGTTGAATTGTGATCACCTGCAGCCAATTCAGTCCAAACAGACTGGTAAGAACAGAGTAACTGAGGTGGAAGATATTTCTCACTGCACGTAAGGAACGGCACGGACGGGACACGCTCACACCAGCTCGGCAGAGCACAGCTACCACGACCAGATCCCACACGATGCGGAGAGAAGCAAGAAATCGGGTTCAAGAGATCCAGCCACGCCGTTCCCCTAAACACTTACTTTATCCCCAAGCCATCCGAGCTCCTGAAGATGAGAGGGTCTCTCAGGCCGCCCCGCTGGATGTATTCAACTGTGAAGTCTGGTGGGGGGAGACGAGAAGAGGGAAGGTGTTAGGAGACCATAGATAAACCAAGGTTAGAAAAAGCATCTCTGGAGATCTCTAGGCCAAACCTGCTCACAGCACTCTGACTTTTTAGACTCAGATCAGGTTGTTCAGGCCCCTGTGCAGTTAAGACCCTCGTATCGTTGTGGCAAGGCGAGCCAGAGAAAGGAATCCTCATTATTTCTACACCCCTTTTGGGGATCCTGGAACTCCTCTGCCGCACTTCTGTGAGCAGCACGGTGTGCGCTGCAACAAACCTCAGACAGGGCCCCTAGGGAGGGGGGAGTTTGCTCCAACAGGCTTCCCCAGAGAGGGGAACAGCATGAGTTTTGGTCCTCAACTTCCTTAAGAAGCTCACGGCCGAGCAAGAGATACCTTGAAGAAATGCTCCTCCCTCCCGGTAAACCCTCCCGAGTCTTGCACTGACCACACGATGAAAAGACACCCCACCGAGCCGCACGGGCGGTGAAAGGAAGAGGAGAGATCCCGCATCGTCTTTGAATTAAGTATCTCATAGACACGTGGCTGCAATTACAGGTGCTGACCGAGGTGAACCCTCTCGTTCCTGGCTGCCACGTGTCCTGGCAAGCCCGCAGGGCTGCGGACCGGCTCGTTGCTCTCCAGATTGAGCGGCTTTTCCCCTACACAAGCTCCTTGTTACCAGCTCCCCTGGCCCAAGGGCTTGAACCAGACTTGAATCAACCCTCCAGAGACACGGTGGCGCAAAAACGTCCCCCCATGCCCGCTCTGCAAAAGGAAAGCGGTTTTGCAACAGAGGAAAAACGCAGAACGGGTGCAAAGCAGAGGATGTTTCTTTCTAACTTTACAGAAGGATGGAAAGCAAGAGGCAGCAAAAAGCAGGACAGCAGGAAAGGATTTCATTAACGCCACAATCGCCTCGTAACCGCCCTTCGAGCTGGCAGCCAGGGAGGCTTTGGGTGTAGTCAGATGCACAAGAGCGCTGTTGGCTTTCGAAGAAGGGCTCGGGGGAAGGTCACCTCGCACACGACGCCTCGCTGCAGGAGCGGCCAACCACAGCAGCCGAGCACCCCCAAGACAAACCTTTGCCTTCCATGAAGACCACGAAGGTGGAGTTAAACTTGTTGGTGGACAGCTTCTCCTCGAGGTCAAACGTCCTCTTCCCTTCGATCTCGTCGTCGGAGATGCCGTCGTCCTCGTAACGCCGCCTCATCGTGCCACGCTGAGGAGAGGACAGAGAAAGGAGGGAAGAGTTATGGGCCAAGAGGAACAAGCAGCTCAATTCCCAGAGCCTCATCCCGACTCAGCTCAGCCAGGGCTTTTGGGGAGCCTTGGCCTCCTGCAGCACCCACACGCTTCTGTTCCCAGAGGAGAGACCTTTTATTACCGAGTTATACTTCCCACTGGGTGTCTTGCTCAAAAAGCAGTCAGTTTTCAAGAGAGACACGCCAGCAGAAGATCTTTTTGGGTAATATCTTGTCCTGGATCCAAAACCCGCTGCTGAAATATCAGATTTGCTCCTCCTACAACCAACAGTTTTGTGCAAGGCAAACGGATAATTCACTCCTAATGAGTGCTAACACACAAACATGGGAGGAGGGGAGACAGTTCGGTATAACTGGGGCAGTGAAAAAAAAAAAGACCCAGTTTCCCCATTTTTAGAGGTGCATCGGTATTTCTCTGCACTGGTGGTAAAAGCACTTGTGAATTTAACCCCCTGCCAGAACACCAAGCGAGAAAGAGAGGGCTGAAGACCACTCTCAAGTTTTCATCTTTGGCTACACTTGTACACAAAAGTTGATTTATTCCCCTGTTTTGTGTGGAGTAACAAGGTGAGGGGAGGGAAGTAACCCTTTTCTTCGAGGGTCTCCTGAGTACGTCTGCACTGGGGTTCCTGACAGACATCCTCTCCTAGCACAGCTGGATCTGGAAGAAATTACTGTCCCCAGCTGCCAGCCACCCCTCCCGAGCCCGGCCATGGGAACGCTCCCTAAATCCCCCCAGATAAAAGCCAACCTGGTCCGAATTATCCCTCGATAAGCGACGCTCCAGCGATAAAACCTTCGCCAGCAGGCGGCTAGGGCTGAGCGACGGGGCAGGAGGTGACTTGTCCCAGCTACTGTCACATCTGGGCACCTTTTGGTGACTAAAGCCCTTGAGTGGTTACAGCCCTTGAGGGTTTCTTTTGCCCCGAGCAGCCCTGCCCAGCCTCCCTCACCTTCCCATTAACCCCCCACCCACCAGCATCCCCCAGCCCATCGCACCCCTTTTACTGCTGTAAAGGTATTTTTTAAAAACCAATTCAACCAGGGCGGGAGCATGTGGCAAAAAGGGACTTGTCCTCCCCTCAAGGTAAAAACTTCACCCTCACATTTTCAAGAAGGATTCACAAGTAGTTTCAGGAGGGCAGAGCTGCTTATCTCTCCCTGCCGTTAACACCTCGTTCATTTTGCTTTAGAAACCTCAACACAAGGGGAGGTGGGGACACAAACACCTCATTTGCAAGGCTGGAATGAACCTAAAGACCAAACCGATCTTCTCCAGGGGTCCTGATGACTGAACAATCTGGGAAAGGCTTTTGGGTTTCTGGGAAAGGCTTTTTGGTGTTTGTCATCCTTTGCCTTAAGCTACTAAACAAGGACAGCGAGCAGCACCACTTTTTTTTTTTTCCTACTTTTAAACGATACAAAGATAAAACTCGCTTTATTTACAGGCTTTTACGAACAAACTTGCACTACCACGCATTAAAAAAATAAAAAAAAAAAGTCAATGGAGGTGCCACCAGCAGAAGTCAAATGACATATTCCTGGGAAACACTTTGAATTTCACACAGCAAGGGCTGAACCGTTCACACCGCAGCGCCGGGGCCACGCGTCAAACTGCTCCTGGCACAAATCCAGGGGCTGAAACACCCAAACTCTTTAAACTGAGAAAAGCTCTTTCAAGGAGAAACACCAAAACTTGAAGTTAGAGATGGAGAGGTATTACCAGGAGGATAAGCCCAGCTTAGAAAGCCCTTTCCTTTAAAACAAGTAAATAAATCACCACACTGGTTAACGCTGCGTGATGCTCAGTTTTAAAATAAGGGGGTGCTGACCTGTACAGGACACATGAGAGTCAGCCTCATGTTCAGCTTTTGCTGAAAAAATCCAGAGTTTTGGGGGTTTTTCAATCCGGCACCAGTGCTTCTGCTGACACCCAGTAGCCAACTGGGGCTGGGCCAGGCTTCCAGCTCCCCGGCAGGACCGGAGCCTCTCTCCTCCATCCACAACCCTCTCCCCACCGCAAAGCCTCACGTCTCACCTCCGTGCCGGTGGCCTGAAACGATCCAGAACAGCTTCTTGGGAGGGATGGAGCAGGACATGGCCACAGGGACGGAGCAGGGGTGCTGCTGTTAGCCCTGGAGGGGCTCTGGGCAGGAGGAGCCAAGCTGGCCCCACCTTTGAGGGGGGAGGAAGCTGCACAACCACCTCCTGTTAACCCATGGGAGACGTGGCTGAGCCCCCCAGGCAGCACAGGATACACCTCCGGGTGCCAGAGCACCCGCATCTTCCCCCCATCGCCAATTCCAGCTCCACCTACATCCACAGACCCTTCCTCACCTCGGCTGGAGGCAAGGGAGGGAAGCCCAAACAGCCCCATGTGCTGCAACAACCCCAGTTCCCACCTAGGAAGCGTTTCAAATCAATTCTGTGCCGTGTGAAGGCGCGCAAGGCTGAGGTTATACGGACCCACGTGCCAAGGAAACACAACTTGGAGCTCACGAGGTCTTCTGGGAGACCCCAAAAGAGGGTCTTCCCTGCTTTGGGACCAAGTGGGTGGCAGCACACTGCAGGACCAGGCAGTGGTCTGCATTTTTTACCTGCTCCTTTGCTCCAAACACACTTTTAGTTGGCAGGTTTGGAGGCAAAGGGGCTCTCTTGCCATCGCCGGGTACAAACCTCACAAGATGAAAAAGGGCTGGCATGCTAAATGCTGGCAAGAAGAGGCTATATCCAAACCAGCCTCTTAATAATTCCCATTTGGCTTCCAGGCTGGAAGCATAAACAGTATTTCAGGGCTCCCAGTTAAGCTACACAACAGGGCTTATCGCACTGGGCTGAAATTCAAGCGTGTCGCATTTGACTACGATCCTCACGCCTTGGGTTACCGGGGCTGGACCGCAGCTCCGGCCAGAGGCGTGATGCCCGGCCGCAGCCCCGTTCCCAGCAGACATTTCTCCCAGTAAAAACCAGCACAGGCCAGCTGACAAGGACAGCGGTGGCCTGAAAAATGAAGTAGTGAGGTACAGCCCAAACCGTGCAGGTAAATAACCAGGAAAACCCCTCCTCTGCCGTCACCTCGTGGAGAATTTCATGTCTGGCTCCTTTATCCCGGTGGAATTAGCTGGTTTGTTCCTCCTTCCACAGCTACTGCCAGGATGGGGAAGACAGTACCACACGCAGAAGTTTTACGTGGTTTAAGTGTAACTACAGGACGGTTGAACAAGCACCCTCAGTACCTCCCGCAGGCCAAGACCGCTGCAGCCACACCCCGAGTTCTGACCCGCTCTGACAGCTCCCACCAAGATTTTCTTCTGGAGGAGACGCGGCCACATGAGGCATTTTTCGCAATAAACGATCCGGTCGCTCAGTAACAAACTTGGAGGCTTTATCACCGACGAAAAGCAACCCGTGTTTTGGGAGATGCCACGTCACCAGCCCTTAGCACCGACACAAACTTCACCTGACTCCAGCTCCATCCACCCCCACGTGCCGACTCTTTTCCTCGCTCGCAGCACAGCCGCACCAAACGCCGAGAAAGGGGTGGCACCACCTTCCACTCGAATCCCTTCGCAGTGGAGATGCAGCGCACAGAAGGCAGCGGAACATCTCCTCCAGCCGAGCAAATTCCAAAGCCTCACGCTCCTGTCATCGGCAAAGCATCAGCCACAAAACCCTCCCCGTGCTCGCAGCCAGATCAGCTCGGCTCGGTCCTCTGGGCAGGGAAGAGTTTGGCTTCCTAATGTGCCCAGTATGGAGGAGAATGGGAACCCAGTCGTGGTTGGGGACCCAGAAGCGCTGCCACAATACAAAGAGCTCCCAGGGGTTATACAACGCCTCGCGCGGGACCGCGGCGCTTTCATGTCATTGTTGTCTTGGGAGGGTGGGGAGAGAAAAAAAACTCAACCATATTTCAGCGCGCGCAGAGCAGACAAGAGGAAGGAAAAGGCTCCTGCACTTCCAAACGCCTGTTTTAGGAGAGGCAGCATCTGCTGGGACTTGGGGCAAATCTCTGCAGAGGAGTTTTCTCCCTTCCTGGAGTTTGCAGCTTTCTCACAGCTCAGTTACACAAACCACGGTCGCTCCAGTCCCAGATGGAGCTTGGACAACCTCAGCCATATTTAAATATTGTGCCTTTTTTTTTCCCCCCGGCTTTGTGATCTGTGTTAGGATCTCATCCTGACCAGAGTTTGACTAAGGAAGAAGTGATAAGCAGTCCAAAGCCTTTCTCTCTGTGTCAAGCAGGGTCAAGATAAAGGCAGTTTATTCCTCCTCCACCAACTATCCAGCAATTCTCATCTAAGAAAGCCACCCATTTCTTGCTGGCCCTCTTGGCTACCATTCACTTAATGCAGGAAATGTGAATATTAACCCTGCAGACAGCTCTATCCCTTCTATCCTGATCCTTTCACCTGCAGCCTCCTTCTCTCCCAGGGCCTCGAGTAGCTCCATGGTATTATTCTTCAAAATCCTTCCCTGGACACTTCTCTCCACGGGCAGGCGGTGCCTCGGTGGAGCGCAGCTACCTCTAACGGCGAAGGAACCGAGAGACAGCCGAGGAGAACCAGAAGACTAGTTTCCTGTGGACCGCTTTTTGGAGAGAAGAACAAGTACAAGGTCACATTTAAAAAAAAGGGGGAAAAAAAAAAACAACAAACCAAACCAAAACCGAACAAGCTGTCCTTTCGCTGAGAGGGCCTCACGTATTTACAGAGCGAAACCACCAAACCCCACAGTATTTCAGTCACTTCCCGTCCCGTCTCCTGCCCTTCCCACCCAAATCCTCCAACATCTCCGTCTCCCAGCGCCCAGGAAGCCTCTTCCCGCTGTGCGGCAACTCCTTCTACATCAGGAGAGCAGAGCACCCCTTATTTTTCCTCCTCCCCTTCGCCTGCTCTGTTTCCAGAGCCGCTTGCCTCCCAGCCACCCATCCCTTCGCATGGTTACTTTG